CAATTGTCGTAGACCGAACATCGATTTGTCGACACGGACATAGAAAACGTAAGTTTATATCATATCAATCAAATTCACCTACAATATAGCATCAACATGCTGTAGGACAAGGAAAAGTTCAACTGGTTTGCCGATTTCAAGAGCCTCCGTGGGCCTCAACTGGCGTTGCTGGTACATATATATCTATTATCTCGAGCTACAATATATATATATTATCTCAAGCTACGACAGCCCCCTAGTTTTAATATGGTTGTTTAGTATTAATATTTATATATATATATATAGGCAATCGAAAAGCCCGACTGGGGCGATCTGCGCCTGGCGACTACTCGGCCACAGCCCACCGTGAGCGAAAATGAGCTGGACGACTCCACATTTGAAGTCAACATGCGCATGGTGCGTGTGACCAGGGTCAAGCACGGCCTCGGAGGTATATAGTATATATATTATATATATATATATATAATGCCAAATATAGATGTCATATATATGATATCATATATCATATCGTATATACATGCATACAGTGTCAAATATAAATGTCATACAGTATATATGATGCCGTTACTAGTAATATATTGTCAAATCGATGATTCGAAACTAGAGTCTTCAGCACAATCCAATGTCTTAACAGAATGGATGATTCAAGATCCGTCTAAGCCAATCAAATCACGTTCTGTCGAATTTCTGCCAATCCAAACGTTTGACTCGGCCCAGTGATTCCGCATGGGGCAAAACCATATACTAGGATATATTAATATTTGTACAGTATAGTTTGTAAAAGCTTAAATGAGATTCGAATGCTATTTGGCAAAATGTCCCACAAGTCCAAATTTGGGTCAAATACACAATATAATGACATATACAGATATAATGTTGTATATATACATACTGTCATCTATTTATAATGTCGTATATATACATAATCCAATATAAGTGTTATTCATCAAATCGTCTTATATTTTTAGTTCAACATATAATACATATCGCGAGGATGCTGTATTTTGGACCAAATCCAATATAAGTGTTATTCATCCAATCGTCTTATATTTTTCGTAGAGCTGTTTGTGTCGGACGAGATGCCAACCGCCGACGATTTTCACTTTAGTTCGATCGATGCCATGTATCGTGGCCAGTGGGTCAACGGGCTCAAACACGACCAGAAAGGCGTCGAATACT